TTTTTCTTTTTTTTTTCTAGGCTTCGAACTTACATAAAGTGTTCATCTCGTTAATTGTCAGTTCATGTGATACATTACATTTCAGATGCTAAATGATGTATCAGATGCTTGTTTTGTTGAAAAAACAATACAAACTATGTTATTGTAAAAGTTGCCTCTGGTAAATGGAGGTCACATATTCATTTCCTTGCTACCGCAACTAAAGCAATAGTTAAACTTTTAAAACACAATTCTTAAAATAAAAAAATTCTCTTAAACCAGTGTTAAAGTTCATTTTTTAAAGAGACATCTGTATTGAGTCTAGACAGTTACTAATGGCATTTTTGAAAAGGGTGGAAAATGTGAGATCAATGGATGAGTGAAATGGAGCAACAATCACTGGCACTAGACAGTGCATCAGCTTTTGTTGTCTGACCTTACCTGACAAGGCAGCAGAGGGAAACAGCGAGCCTTTTAAATCTGAGAAGTGTTGAGGAGATTGCGCAAGACTCACAGCTTTGCAGATGATGAGGAACTGTGGTTCTCTGGTCAGCCGCAAAGTTGTTTTCGCTCATTCTGCTCTCATTTTCACCTGTTTTTGTGGTAAGGTGACTAAATATGACTGATGATTGCAAGAGTGATGCACAAGTTAAAAGATAAACATTTGGACACCTTACTTACCCTCTTGTTGGGGAAAAACACATTCACACACATTCACATGCAATTATATAGGCTTCCATGGTGGTATCCTCTTCAGCAGGAAATGTCTTTTTAACAACCAATTAAAGGTGAGCCAGGCTGCTAGCTTACAAGAGGAATGTGTACTCTGAGGACCTGTCGAAGAGAAAAAGGGGGAGAAAGATTCATTGTGGGGGGGCGGAGATACAGTGAGAGGAGGCATTAAGAAAGCTAGAGAGCCGAACAAGTCCGGGATTTGGCACTTTCGCAGGTGTGCACAACAGGGGGTTAGAGGAGGAAGGAGTTTGTGTACCTACTCATACGTGTGTGTTGGTGTGTATGCGTGTGTCAGAATGTTTGCAAGTGTGTGGAGCTGCCAAACTGGCCACCTGTCTTTCCCTCGTTGTAGTTTTAGTGTTTCCTTTCATCCGGCCCGCAGCAGCACAGCTCCCACTTGGAGCAGTTAGCCTCCTGCCGTGTGTGTGTGTGCATGTGTGTGTGTGTGTAGCTCAGGTCCCACTTGGGTTACAAAGACTAATGTTCCTAAAGGTGCATTTCACTCTTTCCTCCACATTTTTATATCTTTGTTCTTTATGTTTTATTGAGACAGTTCAAGTGGAGCCAGGAAGTTGGCCAACATGCTCACCGAGCACAAGAGGACACCAGAGGAAACTTGTGCTCCAGTGTCAACAGGAGGTCATGCTTCAGGAAAAGCACTGCTACCTGTGCATCTTTAATTAATAGGCCTTATTCAGCTGGGTACCATCTGAGTACAAAAACATGGATGAGTTAGAGTAAAAAACAGGAGGTGCTTTTCTCTACTTCACTGATTCTCATGTCATGATTGTTGATTAATGTAGAAAAAACCTGGTAACGCTTTTGAGATGTCACCACTTGTTTTTTAAGAAAGATTTATTTGTCAATAAATACCGTGATAAACATTAATTTGAGCTTCACAAAGCTTCATTTTATGGATCTACAGACTGACACCTAGGGCTTAGAAAGCTTTTGCATAAAACAGTTTTTAGGGAGGTATGTTGAAATAATTCCATATGTGACGTGTTAAGAGTTGCATTCACCAACATTTTTTTACAGTATTATCAGCTGTGTGTCACATGACACGAACAGTAAGAAACCCAAACCTTTGGGAGCCTTGGCACATGTTAGCATCATTGGTGGGATTACTACAAACTGAACAACGTAGAGAAAACCAAATCTATTTCACCCAACTAGTCCTGCACACTTTGTTATAGAAACACCATTCATACATCTAATATCCAGTGTGTCCAGTGAACATGGACAGCTATATTGGATCTACCTGTGGCCTTTTCATTAGGGACGCCTGTGTACATACATATGTGGCCACTCTATTAGGTACAGCTGTGTGCTTTTTAAAATGGCTTTATTAGTTACACCTACATCAGCGCCATTTTATTAGGGACACCTTATTAGATACAGAGGTGGCCGCCTTGGTAGGTAAAACTGTTCACTTTGTTTGGTCCATCTGTGAAAGTCACTTTATTAGGTACAGCTAAAGTGTCTAATAAAGTGAGCAGCCATAGAGGAACTTGATAAAAATGCCGGGTCATGTTATTTGATACCTTGTGTACCTCTGTATGTCTGTGTACCGAAGTGTCCTTCTTCCCAAATTTTAAACCGCAACCCACACAAGAAAATGCACTGCAAAATGTCCAACAGCAGTAAAAATCCCACCAGTTTCAGAAATTGCATAGTCTAGTTTAGCATATTGTTTTGGTCATAGAATTTGGAACCTGGACACTTTCAGTATCATTTTTCAGCTGTTTTCAGCAAAAACCTGGGAATATTCCACTGCATCTCACAGCCTAGCACTGAATGGCAAACGTTAGCAGCTATCTGGAGAACTTAATATAGTATTTAGTAGCTTAAGAATATTTCTCTCTAGAGATGGTAGAAATTGAGCTCGAAAGGAAAGTGTATATTTGTTTTTGCATTTTCTGGGTTGCCAGAAAGTCAAAATGAATTAAACCTCATGTTAATCTTCCGCCCTGTCTGCTGGGCGTTTGAACTGCGAATTGTTTTACAAGTTGAAATTATATTACTAGTTTTTTGTTCATCAGTATTATGTTTGGAGCTTTCTGTGCTGCACCCAAATGACAAATCTATAATTACATGCTTTAAAAACATAACCTTCTATGGTTCTTTTTTCCTTGTCACTGAACGTGGAAGAGGAGATGAAAAGCATCCAATATAGCATTTAATAATAGTGAAGTGAGAGCTGATTGGGCAGGACAATGTCTTAATATTGAAGCATAATGCTATATGTTTGGGGAAATTAGTTGAGTAGGTTTTAGGCAGACATTTTAACACTAAAACATTTATAGGAAACATTTTATTTTTCCTACTAGCCAAAACAACTTGTGCCTACGTTAAGTTGAGGGACAGAAGTAGATTCAGGAGGCTGATAACTGCCCACTGATGCCTGCAAGGCACCATATTATAAATTGAGTAATTACATTATAGTTACAGTTATGCAATTACTTGTGTTTCAAAGGTACTTCAGATATCTGTACACATGGCTGAGAGAAAGAAAAAAAATCATACAAACATGCTTTTTTCTTCCTTCACAATTAATGCAAAAATCAACTGATTGCAATTCGTGTGCAGGCAGCAGCCAGACCGTGAACTTCAACAGGTAACAAACTGATGAGCAGTCAAGCCGCTCGTTTCTACCTGTTCGTGTTTCTAAAGCAGAATCTGTGGCGATCGCTTTAAAGTCTCTTTGCGCTGGTTTCCATCTTTGCTTTGTGTTGTCATATTTGTGTTCACATGTAAAAACTAAAAGAAAGACAGTGTGTGTCCTCATTAGGATAGGGCTTTGCATTGGTGTGTGGGACTGTAGCCACACATCAACACAAATAAAAATGTAAACTGCAAATATACATAGACAATAAAAAGAAAGCTCTGACTGCAGTTCCAAGGCCATAACTATTTAAAGTTTTTGAATTTTACCTTTAATTTAAGACGTTTAACAAAGCTACGGCAATAACTGTTTAGAAATTACAGCCATTTTTATGTGTAGCCCCTATTTTCACAGGCTCAAAAGTAACTGCACAAACTAATATAATGTTTAAAAAACTATACTTTTCTTGATTCTTTCTAATACTTAGATGAAAATCTCTTTCGGGCAATGACTGCCTAAAGTCTAGAACTCAATGATGAGTTGCTGCTTGTTTGTGGGTCTCTCTGCATTCATTTTTGCATTTACTAAATGAAAAGCATGCTCTGCTGGGTTGAGATCAGGCGTCTTACTTGGTCGTTGGAGAATATCCCATTTCTTTGCCTTGAGAAACTCTTGGGTTGCTTTTGCAAAATTTGTGGGCCGTGAGATGCCATCTGATCAGTTTTGCAGCATTTCGCTGAATCTGAGCAGAGAGCCTTGTACACTTCACAATCCATCCTGCAACTTCTATCAGCAGTCACATCATCAATAAACACTAGTGGCCCGCTTTCTCTGGCAGTCATACATGCCCATACCATAAACTTTCATCCACCATGTTTGACAGATGATGTGGTATGCTTCAGCTCATAAGCTGTTTTTCTCCTTCTCCGTACTTTTCTCTTCACATCATTCTGGTTGAAGCTAATCTTGGCTTCATCGATCCAAAGATTTTTTTTCGCTGTCGTGCAGACTCTTAGATGTTTTTTTGGGAAAAGTCTAATCTGACCTTCTTGTTTTTGAGTGTAATCAATAATTATTAGACATCTTTTGATTGTAGACTTTAATAATGATACACCTCCTCAAGAGTGTTCTTGACGTTGGTTAGTTGTTTTTCTAAATCACTGAAATGAATTTTTTTTCCCCGTCATCTTCCACTTTGGCTGTCTTCTGTGGTCCTTCCAGCCTTTTGGTGTTGATGAGCTGGTCAGTGCATTCCTTCTTTTAAAAAAGTACCAAAATGTTGATTTAGCCACTCTCAAAGTTTTTGTTATCTTTCTGATAGGTTTATTTTGGTTTTTCGGCCTCATGATGGTCTCCTTCACTTGTGTCAACATCTCTCTGAGCCTCATATTGAGTGTTCAAGTGAACAGCAACCAAATGCAAATTTAACAGTGGGAGTCAACTCCAGATCATTTATCTTCTTAATTTGTCATGAAATAACAAGGGAACAGGCCATGAAACCGCTTGTCAGTCAGTCATCCAATGAACTGTTTAAATCCTAAACAGTTAATGCAATATTTTTGTGAAAGTCTACAATCATCAATCACATATTGATTGTTTGATTTCAAACAAACTGCGGCATTGGACGGAAGCATTTTTTAAAATAAAGAGTCAATGTCCAAACATTGAATGAAGTGAAGTGTAGTTATGTTTTATCTGAATCATCTACTTTAAGACAAATGGTCCATACCAAAGCCGGTGGTGCCGTAAAAGCGTGCAAATTCCAGCACAAACTCTATTTTTTTTTTATAACTTCAGCTATCAGCGTTCATATGCCAGATTTCCGTGGGGTCATCTCTGTCAGATCATTATAGTGATAATAATAAGAGTCAGTCGGTCTTCCAACCTCCGGTTTACATTGGTCCAAAACCGCCCACTTAAATAAAAAGCAGTTTGCCCTCTCAGCTGATCTGTTTCATCAATATAAAATACAGAGATCATTAGAAAGCTAAGCTATATCACAGATCTTCCCGTGTGTGCAAATGTGCACGTCCGCTCACACAGTACATCCATCTGTTTGTGCATATGTAAGTTCATCTGCGCACAAACGTGTGAACGGTCATCTGTGTGTATGCTAAGTTGTGCGTGCGTAGGCGTAGGGGGAACCTGATCTGGTCTGTGTGGGAGGAACCAGTCCCCCCCTTTAGTATCCAGACGGCCTGCTAGAGAGATCAGACTGTCAGACTAACTGGACCAGAAGTCATTAGGACACGCTAGACACACAGAGCTTTTTCAAAGCTATTGCTTCCTTTTAAAAAGACAAAAAAAAAAATACCCCAGCAGTAAGATTATCTACATTTCATCGGCTCATGATAGGACTAAGATCTTTAAGACATGCGGTGCTTTTCAGATCTTTTTCTCAGAAACCTATAAGCAGCAGGGACCACTTATTTTGAATCCGTGTCCTGAGATTTAGTCTTTTGTCATCCCGCGTTACGTTTTAGAAGAAAAAAACTCGTAGGGCATATCAAACAACTGTATTCTTTGGTATAAGCGATTATAGGCTTTGAAGCTATCTTTAGTTTAGATTTTAATGAACTTTCAGACGACACGTTTCTCTCCTTCATCACCTTTGTGAGTTGTTTCTTTAAAGTGCGTGTCCTCTAAAAGACATCCATCTGGGGACATATTAACTCTAGAACTGGCTGTGAGTCCCCAGTAGTGATATAATTTGGGGGTGTTTGTAAGATCTGACACATGCACACACACAAAATAAATCAGCTTTGTTTTTCAGCACCATTTCCACTAAAAGCTGTTTTTTGGCAGTGGAAAGTGGCATTTGAATTTTTTGTTAGTTGTTTTCCTTCATCGGGCACTTGTCACATTGTAGGAAAAAGCTCGATAATTGGCACCTCAGTCGCAGAAACAGCTTGTTAGCGTTGTTAAAAAATAATTTGGGAACACCGAACTAGTGCAGCACAGCGGTTAGCCTCCATTAAAAGAACAGGCTCAATTTACATTTCTTTTAATGGTGGAAAATAGCTTAAGAAATTCTACTGTTATATGACTTTGGGACACCAGTGGCATTATAAGATTTTAATACGCTTCATGCAGGATAATATATCACCCAGATGATGCAACATTTTCAGGTAGCCATAACTTCTATCCTCTGACCTTGAAGATAATGTAGGAAAAATGTGTAGTAGTCACACGAGAAAGAAAAAGATAAATTATTATTTTAAAAAAGAGAATATGCTCAAAAATGAAGGGCAGAATCTACATTTTCCATCACAGCAGTTGCCAGACTGGAGGAGATGCTGCATGAAGGTGATGGAGGACACAGAGTCAGAAACACTGGAAAAGGCAGCAGAAAAAATAAGAAAACAAGTAGATGATGTATGGATGCATCAATAAAAGGACAAGTTCAGAAGAATGTAGCTGGTGTGGGGCTAAGCACACTGGAAAGCCATCAACAACCAGACTCTGGGCAGTGGCACTCCAGGGAAAAGAGAGGAAGAGCAGAGGAGAAGAGAGAACAAGCATGTGGAAAGGTAAAGAAGAGGACAGCAAAGGGACAAAGGCAGATGTCCAAGTAGCCAACCTGCAGATTCAATTTTGCTCATTTTCCTCCCCTCTCCCTTTGCCTTGCCTTTTTCTTTCCTCCTTAAGCCTCTGTTGCCAACCTCATCTGCAACTTTAGTCAGTCTGAGCAACAGCAGCACCAACTAGAACCGAGTTCTCGAGGAGAGAAGGAACAAGCATGTGAGAGAGAAAGAGAGCGTCGCAGGTGAATAAGGGTAATTAGGTTTATGTGAGCTATGGGATCAGACAGAGAGGAAGTTCCACTTAATTCTCTCCACCAGCCACAAAAGGATAATACAGCATTGATTTGCTATTAAAATATATCTGCAGCTCACCGGAAAGTCACGGTGGAAACTTCTACAATGTTTATTGGTTGGGACTGGCAAGAATTAGGAGAACATTTTAGAGTACAATCTGTTTAACATACCAGCAGCATATGAATGAAATTTAATCCCAGATATACAAACAATTTATTGCTCATCTTGAGTTAAGTTCAACTCTCAAAAATGATTATTAGAAATAACCAATGCCAACAATGTTCCAGCATATTTTTGTGATGTCATATAGCCAACGATTGTACCTCAAAACGATGCACATTGTTTGTCAAAAAAAAGTCATATAGCCGTTAAATAACATAGTTTCATTATATAATGTTATGTCACATAAATATACATTTATACTTCAGTTTACACATTAATAACACACAGCTTTTCGGGAATACAAGTTTATGAGTGTGTTTTCAGATCATGTGCCATAAGTTCTCAGAGTCACTGATACAGTCAAGAGTCTTTTATAAGTGGTATTAAGAGGTTCTTGGTGGTGTTGGTATGCATGTGAAAGCCATTTGAAAGTTCTCAAACTGTAAAAAAAATTTTTTTAAAAAAGGTCCTTTAACAAAATGCAAACTTTAGTTAAAATGTTCCTGGAAAATCCTGGAAGTGCTACAAGGAGTCCTTCAAAAGTCTTTGAGTCTGGTTAGTCTTCAAGTTGCAGTAATTTTAAAAATCGCTGTAAGCAAGTGATGAGCATTTTATCCACGTGGCTCGTGTCGTTGTTGTTAGCTCCTTATGGCGGTCTTCCTGTCTCTGTCTTTATTCTGCAAGAGACAGAAACAACATCTCACATCATTGACGGGTTCACTGAAATCAAACTGAAACAACAGTTTGGGTTTTGCTCTCATGAGTTAGAGCTGGAGAAAACTTAAACGGTAGGTGGAAAAAAGGCTAACTGCCATCGAAGATTGATTCTTTATGGATGTTGTTGGTGTTTTTACTTGATATATTTCATAGATTTCTCAGGAGGGTGGCTTGAGAAAGTCTTCCCTCCTGTGAGACGACTTTATCTGTCCAGTCTCACAAATATAAAAAACAATTTGAGGTAAGATCAAAGAAACAAACTTCTTAATCGTCATTTCATGAAAATTTGCCAGTTTTGATCGAAGCTTTCTCTGGTTTCACTAACACAAGTATACTTTACGTTTAATGAATTTATTCAAACCATATTTCATCACAGAGGCTCTAAAGAAGCCCAGCAATTTTACAGTAAAAAAAAAAATCATAACAGGTAAAAAAGATGATTTTTTTTTAATGTAAACCATAAAAAATGCACTCAAAAATATATGGTTTCATACTGGAATCACTGGCACAGCAAGTTCATGTGGTTTTAGATGTGCTCTGCTTTTAGTTGATGGGAGAGTAAATTAGCCTTGACTGCGTGCAGCAAACTCACATAAACACATTCTGTAATGTAGCACACAACATTAATTGTGGTGGCAGAGAGAAATGAGCTTTTCTTTAATACTATTACAGCCTGCAGATTGACATCATGAGCTGGTTCATGACAGCAGAGCATGATGATATGCTTCTCATTTATCTGTGGTATCAGAGCAGGAGGCCCTGATTTCCTGGCTGGTTGGGAGACCTTCGCTATCTGGCCAGGAAAATAACATCACTTTTTCCCTCTTCACCTAACCTCTTCTCAGCTCACTTGGGCCATCTACCACTGGCTTTTCAGGCAACAGTCAAGGGATTTTATTGAACACACCACTGAGTGATATGCAACACATATCATCCATGCTTCTGTAAAAAAAAAATTTAAAAAGGAGAAAAAAGACGGATGTTTTAAGGATTAACTCATAGCTGACAACGGATCTTTGTTATTTAATTCTTCAGCTGAAGAATAAGGCTACCATTATCCCATATGCTAATATAAGCACTCATGTCCTCTCCTGACTTTTCTCTACCCCCTCTCATATCATCTCAACTAACCCTCTCTGCCTCCCACTTTCCTTTCCTCTCATCACGCCGAACACCTGTTACACATTTCCTCTCAGACGGCGCACAAGGTGTAGGTGTTTGGAAAAATCCGTTTGCCTGAGATCAACATAGGTGGGTTGGTGGTTGGAAGGGTATCAGGCGGTAATCAAAGAATGAGATCATAAGACTTGGACAGGAATTGGTACTCCCACTGACGGAGGTGAGTGAGTGTGAGGAGACGCAGAAACTGTTGTTGTCAATCCTTCCTCCAGCTGGATCAGCAGAGGATCATTAGATTACACTGCAATTGAACCATTACCGTTGCTAGACATGAATCATTACCACTGTGTTACTGGCTGCGAGTGCAAGTATGAGCAACACCAGCGGTATAATTTAGTATGTAGTAGCCACGCTTAAAAGCAGCTACTTCATGTGACCAAATGTGTCTTATTTGTTCTTCTGTTGTCCTGTTTTCAAAACTAAGTAGATAGTAGATGAGATATTACTAGCATAAGGAAATATAAGAACATCAATCAGCACATGTAGGGTTTCCTCATTTTAAAGATCATAGAGGTCTTTCAGCATTAATCCTAATGCAAATAAGCATATGTTTACCACCATTTATACTCTCAGTTGCCTTCTGGATTGTTTGTACCATAAATAAATAAGAGGCACTTATATCATATTAAGAGTTTTTTATGACCCAAAGACAAAACGAGTGGGAGAAAAGGACAGAAAATCCTTATTTTGTTGGTGTCCGTGGATCCCATCTGTAGATTTGCTCTTTTTTGCTGAAGAGCGCAGTTTTATAATTTATAGTAAATCTCTTGGCTGTGATTCGTGGAGCGCTGGGGGATCCCCCCACATTAAGAACCCTTGCTTCAGGCACAAATCCATTCCTAGTACAACTGAAGAGTCTTGATATGATCACCGTAAAAGATTACACAAGACTAATGATCTGCCTCAAATTATCTGTCAGTTTAACCATCTGACATGACATGTAGTCTTGCTCAGATGTCTATTTTGTGTCACTTACAGCCTGGAAAAACCTCGGCTTCATTGACGCTGTGATCTCATTGTGCTTGTTCCCTTTCACAAACCATCAAAACCATCAGTTGGAAGACAGAAACGCAGCCATGCTCCTGGGTGTTTGTTGGAAAGCAACGGGGAAAATTAAAGGCATTTGTCAGTGGAAGGAAAAGTACTTGAGGCAGTTTAGAGTTAAAGTGGGTACGTGAGAAATTTCACTTGAAACCTGTGTGTGAAAATTGGATGATATCCCAAATTACATCAAATTGCAGCGGAATCGGTAGGAATCAGCCCACGTCTCATTGTTAGTGCTCCGTGACAGTTTAGAGGCACAGCTGTAGCTGGTGTAGGCGGTTCAGCTGGAGTGAAGCCGGTTCAGTCAAAACAGAAGGTGGAGGGGATTTGGGGAGGGGGGCTTTAAGGCCGGCCTGGTAGTCAAAACAATCTCCTGAAGACTAATAGGGCATGCTCGGATGACATCTCTGCTCTCTCTTTTCTCTTTCCAAACAGGCTCGCGCGCACACACACATACCGCTGTCTTCCCAGGAGGCCGATTTGTCTGACATTAATATGATTACCTGCTGATGTTTACTTTAGATATGATATGATGATACTACCAAACTTGAACAATATTTTGGGACCAACAAGGAGAAAGCAGCCTGTCTTAACCCTAATGTGAAGACAGTAAACACTGTCTTCACAGCATCTTATCAAGTCCACAAATTCAGTCTTTAGTATTGTTTTTCCGAAACCCAATCCTGCCGTTCCTTCACCTATAACTGGATTTTCCATTCTCTTTTTTTCCTGTGTTAAGCTGTTCTGTCAAATACAAACATCTAATTTAGTTTCTGGCTGCACGAGGACAGGAATGACTGGTTGGAAAAAATAATTTCTACTTGGGCACTGGCCCGCAATCGTATAAGGAGATTGGTATTTAACCATGAAATGAAAACTGGTAATATCCTTTCAGTTTAGCGAGTGAAAGTATGTGTATGCGTCAGGGCCTCTGGTGGCTTATAGAAGCTGTAATTTCCCCCATAAATGATCATTAATTGATAAATAAAACATAAGAGACTTCAATTGAGTGAAATAAAACACAAAATAAGGCCCCAGTCTGCCACTACGTGACTTGGACACATCGCAAATTCATGTTCATTGCAGCTTTGCCAGTAAGCACGGCTCTTGATTAATCTTAGATTGCCTAATTAGATGCTGCTTGCACCAGGCAGCCACACATGTACTTTATTTTCCCCAGCATTTTAAAAATCTGTTTTAATGACTCCATAACAAGCCAGACTTCATTTTCACTAGTCTCAGATGACTTAATTTTGCTACATTATGCACTAACCAGCGCTTGATCATCAGTGCTAAGATGTAGACCCTAAAAAAACCAGTATGTCATTAGCTTCAGTACATATTGTTTCAAGAAACAGCATAAATCCTGCTTTTGTGTTTCTCTAAAGCCTGGCTCGACTTTCTGTATTTTTGCTTTAATTTTCTGGGTGAGCGGCCCTTTCCCCAAAGACCGAATGGCTACAGAATGATAGTTTTGCTAATAGATTTTGTTAGTTATCTGACCCGGCTTCTTCTGCTGGTGTTAAATTAGGATTTAACCGTTTCCATCTGTGCTGAAAATATACAGACAGGTCCACGCTCGAGGGCACACACTCGTACACAAACTCACACACACCGAGCGTGGCTGAGAATACATTTAGACGCTGCCATCAGCGTGTTAGCTGCCTTCGATGCACCTCATTAGCATAGCGAAGCTCTTGCTCACGAGGCACGAAAAACATTCCCTCCAACTCAACGCTAGCATTATCAGCAAATGAGGGCAATTTAGTTTTCATCTATGACGTTCTACCGAGACGTCGACTCCGTGCACAAAAGTGACGCAATGCTTTTTTCCAGTGAAAACAGACTAATATCCAAATAACTGCAAAAACCGCAATCATTAGCGCGGCCCTGCACATGTCCTATGCATGCATTTAAGCCCTCTTTAGGCCCATGGTTCATTTGATCTCTATAAAGAAGCAAAGTGTAGTTTGAGCACAGCCTAAAAACCAACTGTCCAAACTGGAGGATAAATAGCTAAGTTGATTATCCCGCTGAGTCGTTGGCTATTTCTCTTTCTCTCTCGCTCTACTTCTCCATCTCTGTTTCCACAACTTCCTGCACACCATTAGTTTAGAAAGTGTTGAAAACGCAGTCATGATCCAGAACTCCTTAACTAAGTAATCATATTTAAGACCTTTTTTTTTTTCTCTTTTTTGCACGCTGTCTAGAAGTGGTTGGAAAGACTAGGAGGTAGGGTGAAATGCTTTTGATAAAAGTGTCTGAGTGCGGTGGTGTGCTGTGTGCCCACATGTGTGTGTATATATATATGTGTGATTGGTGTGGGCGTGAGCGTAAGCAGGGAGGGCGTTTCACAGTGAGTGGTTTCCAGGCTCCTTTAACATCACCATCAAAGCCCAACGTCAATGTGTTTCTAATAGCAGCCGCTGAATTAAACACTGGCTGTATGGCCTCAGCAGAGGATAAATCATTTACAGAACAATTAGCTCATTTGTTGCTCCGCTCTGTGCTGCCAATGACTTCCAGACACAGAGAGCCAGCCAGTGTGTGTGTGTGTGTGTGTGTGTGTGTGTATCTGTCTGTGAGTGTGTTTGCAAGGTTGCTGCTTAAGACACATTAAAAAATTCACTCTAGATGTGTCACTCACATCCGTCTCATGCAAAAACAAATGCAAGTGGTCCTCGCCCTCACACCAGCAGAGAAGAGGTGTGTTTCCAGTTGCACAGTGAGATTTTAGTGCCCCCGTCTCTCCATCCACATACAAAAATCACCATGCGTAGTTGTGCTGCAGCCGAGATATAAATCAGAACCGTTTGCGATATAAAAGGCAGAATGCATTGTCTGGTTACGTTTGCTTTTTGATTTCCAGAAATTCCAAATAAATGACCTCCTTTGAGTGCGAGTAAAACTCTGGGCCGTGCCTTAAAACGCTTGTAAACGCATCTAAATTTAACCATTTCAAAAGAAGCGCTGGTCTATTTACACCAACCACACCATAAGCACCAGAGCAGTTATATTTTCACCAAATTTTTCTTTCATTTTTTTTAAAATTTTTTGTTTCCGAACATAAGATGTTGCTTTTAATTAATCAGATGAGCTTCTTCGAAATTCAAATGATGGAAAACGCTTGGGCACGTCACATCCAGCTTGAAAGGAGAATGCAGTGTGATTGCTCTTATTGGCAGACGAACTGCTATTTCTATTTACTTTAGCCCTTTGAATTGAATTAACCCGCTCTCTGTTTCGGGCCAAAAGAAATAGGCCACAGTAGAACGCTGCGGACTAGAGACAGACAGATTAGCACATTTTAAAAGATGTTTGTTTTGAATCACGTTTTGCATAAATTCAGATTGTAAAATAAGTGCAGCAGACAACCACCTCAGCACTTTCACCATCACTGAAGGTGACCTCTACCAGATATTGACTTAAGACAATAAAGAGCTGATGATTATAAAAGCTGCCACTGTGAGCTTCTCCTGTCACATGTTGAGTCCAGGCATCTGACAGTTGCACTGACAGCAAAGAGCCTTTGCACAGGATAGCTGCATCAATCAAGTAGACAGCACGGGGATTTGAGCCGTGCTCGGCTCACCTCAGTCGTCTGTCCTCAGTATTGTACATCTCATTTACAGATGTAGCCATCAAGCATGTCCCCCCCTTTTTTAAATCCAAGTATCAAAGGCACCAGCATGCAAGAGCTGCTATCCACTTTGTCTTTGCCAAACTGCGTGTGCTCCACCCCTTACACATCAGGTTTTTGCTGTGATATATATGAACATTCAAGGAGGTATTTGGCATCAAAACAAAAAAGATACTGAGAGTAAATTTCACAAAGTAGCTTTTCATGCTTCACCTGACACTTTAGGGCATCAAGAGAGAGATTTTGTTCTTTATGTTGGCATAAAAAATTTAAAATAGAAAAATTTTTTTCCGGACTAGCCTCTACTAAACCTCTCGAATTTTTCAGACGACTTGAAGGTGGGTGAAAATTTTTAACCTAAAATCTGAAAAAAAAAAAAAAAAAAAGACCCGTCATTCATCAAACGGCTGACATTTGACGACGCAGCGATATTGAGAGGGTTTTAATCATGTTCTGTATCATTTTCAGGAAACTCACCGTAAATGAGTGAAATTCATTTTAAAGCTCCTTAAGACATGTGTATAAAGAACCGACACATAATGAAATCCCATCACTATTCCTCTGACTCTGTAAGATGTAAAGCGTAGCACTCCGTGTGCAGTAGTCATTACTAACAACACTGTTTGTTTTGAAACAGTTATACAGTATTCACACACATAATAAGAGGAAATGAGCGTATACTTTTCTCACTTTCGCCCTCTCCGACGCTGGAAAGAAGTGTAACTGAAGCAGCTGGTCTAAGCAGACCTGACAGCTGTGATGAACCTCAATGACCATAAAAACATACAAAGAGAGCACTCAGGACACAAAGTCTCATTTTACCTTCACAATCGTTTCCTCTCTGTAATCACCAGCACCGACTCTGCTCTTTAGCCCACTTAGACCCACTGTAGCCACTTTTCCAGAGAAAACGAAATGCTCTCAGGTTCTGCCAATCAGAGGAGGCCAAATGAACCTCATTTTTCTCCTAAAATATATTTTAGATAATTGCATCAATTTAATTTGGAAATTGCACAATAAACATTCAGCGTGGATACATGAGCCTCTTTGCACTGCGTGTGCCGATATGATGGCGAGGAGGAGCACTGGAGCCTGGTGGAGTGATATTATTATCACTCCACCAGGCCTTTGTTGAAGGGTCCAGCTAACAAGTCCTGTTCTTGTATCCAAAGCCCAGCTCAGCTTATTCCTGTGTGCCAATACAGCTTAACTTTAAACATAGCCACACAGTGTATGCTGTACTTGTACCCACACAACATCCTGCTGCTAACCGTCTAACTAACCAAGTGAAGATTAATCCACCACTGAAATTAGACCAAGAAAGTGCACCATTTAACATTTTTTACTGGTTGTATGCAGTAAAAAAAAAATGCAATATAGAGTAAAAAAAAGATCTTCACATTGTGATACTGATAAGCTACTAAATTCACTTTAAGCAGAACTGCAAAGACATTATAGTTGTTTGTGTGTGATTCATAAAACTGTTTGCATAAACCAAAACTGAGCAACCATTTCTACACCCTTGTGCTAACTCATCTTCTGTCTCCTCGCTTGCGATTCTTCTGGATTCGTTTGGGGAAGTCAGCCAAATACGCTTGATGCAGCGTACACAGCACACAGGGGAGAATAATGAGACTTTTCATTGAGCTACCGGGAAACATCATAACGTGACTGACAGTGTGTAACACAGAGTAAGCTGAAGTGTCTGCGCTCGAGTGTTTTGACATGAGAAATAGTTTTCTACCCAGCATGCATTTACAGGTCAGTCATGCAACCACAGCAGCGAGCTGACAGCAGCAGATAGTATTACAAAGCTCCTACTGGCAGCTCTGATCTCCATCAGGTCGATCGATATGCACAAAGGTGGTGGTGGTGGTGTTTGAGGGGAGCCGGGGTGCACATGTTGAAGGTGAAGAAATGAAACAGAATGAGATGTTTGCGAGGACAAAGGAGGAAGTGAAGGAGTCAGCGAGGACAGACAGGTTAAAAAAGAAGGGAAGGGGTACAGGTTTCAGGCGAGTTATCTGCGAGCTGAGGACGTCTGGGTTTGGACGCTCAGGACGTCTAGTTTTTCACTCGCAGAAGTTTGGAGGGGTGGGGGGGACACTAAGACTGCTGAGTCTCAGGTTATCCCCCAGCTAAAGGGTCTCTGGGTTGAGACACTGAGGAGGGTATTAGCTTTCACACACTGCTGGGGTAACGGCGGAGTCTGCCAGATGTCAGCCCCTTACCCATAAATCCTGCTAAATGGGCGGCAGCTATGGGCTGGGGGGGGGGGAAGTCAACTCTTTATCATCTTCTGTAGCATTTGTCAAAATCAGAACTGGGGTCATATATATTTAACTTCACTCAGCTAATCCCTCATTTTCTGTATTTTCACATCAAGCTGATGATTTTCGTCTGCGAGAGTGGCTTTGATTATGTTAATTTCCCGCGATGACTCAATCAAATATGAGCAGAAACAGGTTCGCCCTAAGGTGTAGCTTATCCATTTTAATAGTTGTAGAGAAATGTAGATTTTTATCAAGATTATTGACAAAAGTGGAGAAGAAAAGTTGGTTGTTTTGGTTTTTTTGCTCTAAAATGTTATCGATTGTTGTCCTGTGACTGTGACTTTCACTGGAACAAAGTAATTGCCAGTTAACAATTTGTATCTCTCAGGTCAATCTCGAGAAGTTATGATTAAAACCTTCTCGTATTCGGGCTGACGTCAATGCATTCTTGAAATTATACGCATGGTTTTGGACGGATTTCACGGGCTCCTGGTCATAAATCTCAGTCACTGCATAAATACCCTTGTAAACTCTAAATTCATATTTTTTAAAAAGAGAGCACAAACAACACCATAGATGGGTTTAGACACAACACTCGTACACATTTAGTCTGGAAAAAGCCTGCGTGCTGTTTGAACCCAGCTCTCGGAGAGAAAAACAACCACTGCTGTGGACTGTAATGCTCAGAGATTTTCAGAAACCACCTGCTTGATTAAAACTAACCCCAGATGATACAATAACACTGAGTCCTTTAAAAAGTGGTTTTGCTTTTACAGTCCCTCTGGGCCAATCTGGTTTATGGGCACATTCACTGATCTCAGGTCAGCTGTCCTAAACCACCACACAGTGTCTCCGACCGCACTGGTCTTCAGCTAAATCTCTATCATTTGTATTTTGGAAAATTTAACAAAGACGAATAAAAAAAAAACGCGACTTTTCCCGCCATTTAGTTTTAGAGGATTTTTAAGCAAAACGCACTTTTAACTTAATGTTTTCCCCGATTTCCCTCTTCTTCTTTAACTGACTGAGAGTTCGTTATCCGCTCACCATTTTCCTCTGGTTACTGAGGCAGAAGGTACAGATGTGCTTGGGCTGCGCTGATTGGTCGGATCCTCGGTTGGGGGAGGAGCTGACATGGAAAAACGGCGGTGAGGGAGCGTGGCAGGGCTGTCCGTCATGAAGCCCTTCGCCCAGGAGCAGCACGTTACCCAGATGGCTTATGTAGCTGCTGGCCAAACGCAGCGTCTCGATCTTTGACAACTTCCTGCAATCATGAAAACAGTTGTGGTGTTGACAGAGGAAAAAAAGAAATTTGGAGGGTAACGTACAGATATCTGCCTCATAGGATATGTTCAAACCTGCAAGAGAATGATGCTAGATGCTAGAATTTTTCTTCCCTGTTCGAGTTTGGAGAGTTTCAGATTAAAGGCCTAAATATAAAACCATCATTTATTTGGCTCTCCAGGTGGAAATCACTCTGTCACTGTCTTATTTGTGCATGATGTCACAAAACAGTAACTCATGCAGGTCTTTACCTGTCTGCAGGCTCGGTGGGGATGAGTGTGCGCAGCGCTGTAAATGCTGTGTTGACAGAATTGGTGCGATCTCTCTCCCGCGCGTTGGCCGCGGTCCTCTGGCGATATTCCTTAGGTGGAGATGAGTCCGGGGGGACCAGTCTCGCGGCCATGCCCCCTACTTCTATCCCTCCGCCTCCTCCCCCGCACAGCTTCCTCTTCCTGTTCACCTTGATGTGAAAGGCAGATGGGGAAGACGAGGACAAGCGAAAAGCGGCGTTGGAGGAATTGCTGGTACGCTCCTCGGAGCCCGAGCCCTCGCTGCCGTTCTCGTCATCGTCTTCGGAGAGAAGGGCGATGTCGCCGTACAGGAAGCGGCCCGCGGGGGGTGCCGTGCGCAGCATGGCGAATGTCATCTTGGGCGCAACAGCGTGACAGTTACCGGTCAGTCTTGTGGGGGCTTCCTCAAGGCAAGGTTGAGCTGATGAAGCTTGTTGGCTGAATCTGGTTGATGCTGACGGCTGCTGAAGGTGTCCACCAGAGCTATTTCCCCAAAAACTTCTCTTCTTCACAAAATAAATTAAGCCAGGAGAATCGGATGTTTCCCTTGTGAGTCTAATTTGCCTCAACTTGTAATCTCCCCTTATTGAAGTTGATCCTAAAGCAGGTTAAGAGGTCACGACAACTTGACCTCAGAGCACTCGGGTCATGGACAGCTGCAGGTTCCAAGTCCTTCTTGTTCTTTCTGGATCTATTCACATGCACTTCACATCCCAAAGATCTGTGTCTCCTGCAGCTATCACTTCAAAATAAGAATTAAAAAATCAGTTTATACTTGCATGTTGAAGCAAAAATTGGTCTCGTCTCTCATTGCTTCTCTGCGCGTCTTTCTTTGCCCTTCGTTTCTATATTTGCCCGTTTCAATTCCAGGAACGACTCTGCGCCAGCCGCCTCACTCTCTCGTGCTCTCTGTCCTTTCTCCCTCTCTGTGTGTCTCTGCTCCACATGTGCCTGCAGTCTGAGTGTTTCCGTCTGTCTCTGGTCTTAAAGCCAGTGGGAGGGCAAAAGGACTGCACTGCTCCTCCCTCTGAGCACTGAGGGTCCCTTGGCTGCTCTCTAGAAGCAGGCCGGAGAGACCGGAGGCAAGAGGCAAACCATCCGCAGGAGTTTGTTTTGGCTGCATGCTGATATGTTCCAGGGGAAATCCACCCTAAAACAGATCTTGCATCACCCACAGGGCCCTCTAAAATTTAAGAAATACGGTCGATGTGTTGGATAAAATGCTGTCATGTGGCATTAGTAATAAAGCTGTTATCTTGGACGGTACAATCAGATGTCAGGTTGATCTATTTCTCTATATTTATTTTCTTTTTTCCACAGAAATGTGTCCAGAATCAAAGTTACCAAACTGTCTTTTGAATAACGACTGAATATCTTTAAATAATTTCTGTTGTGTTAACTTGTTTTCAGTTTCTCACGTGATATGTTCTTCCTGGTTTCTGTCATTAGTCTGACAGGGCACGCTACCAGCAAGAGGTACAACTGGGTTTTGCGTTTGCAGGAAAAAAAAAATCATGTTTCGTTCAACCACTTCCTCGACTGCAGTAAGCTGTGAAGACAGAGTGGCGAGTGTGAGTGTTTTTTCTTTCCCTCCGTCTACATCTCTGATTTCATCCCGGGACAGCTGGCCGGGAGGCATCGCTGAGCTCATGGATGACGCCAAAATGTAGGTTTATCCGACCGCAAGACTTTTATCTGTACGAGCTGTGGCACTAAAGAGCTTTGCAATGTATCTATCCTCATGGGACTCAGACATTTAACGTGAATTTAAGGTTCATGCGATTGGAGATTGTAGTAGGAGAGCTGCGACTTTAAACTGCCTTCATCTATCTGTCATCCTCTCTTCGAGAAGGAAGTTAATAGTTCAAAACGAGGTACAGCAAAGGAAGCGGAGACAGAGGCGAGAAGACAGACACAAGTGGGAGTAAATTAGCAAGAGACAAGGCAAGGAGCGTCAAAGTCTAATTGTGTTTTCTGCTTAAACTCTTTGTGATATTATTAGTCATGATCGCGCAGCTTAACTCTTATTGCCAAGAGACTGTGTGACCTTTATGTGTTTCTTCCTACTTTAAATGTACAGCGGTTAAAGGTTGACAACCTATGTAAAGCTCAGCTATGAAGTCTGTAATCCTCAGCAGTACCTCAGTGAAAACTCTAAACCCAACTGCCATTACTGGTATGCCTCTTTTGTGTAGATTGGCAAGAGTAAGCTGCTGCTGAAAACTAATAGCACAATGAATAATCTGTCAGAGTTACACAATGTTACAGTCGGCATTCATCACTCTCGATTTCTCTGTCTTTTTCCCTCTTCTGCCCATATTTCTCCCTGACTCCCCTCCCCTCGGTGTCCATCCCTGCCCTTCAATCTTAGTCGTGGTGTTTATGCTGTGGTGTTGAGTGAATGAACCAAAGCCAACGCTGGTTGCAGCGGTTGATTGCAGTACATACAGGAAGCACAGAAAAGTGCAGCATAGGTGGGAATTAAACTCCAGTCGGACTACTATAATGAAAACAAAATGTGCTGCTCTTCCTACATACGAGTGCTTCACAGAAGCAGAGAAGCATTAAGTTTTGGCACTGATCGGTTCCTCCTGAAGGTGCAATCAAACAATGCGGTTGTGCTCCTACAGTTCACGTTACACCACCTTTGCAGAGTTCACACTGCTACCATGAATAAATCTCCTTAAGAAAAATAAATAAATAAATAAAAAATAATCTTCAGCTGCAGGACGTAATGGAAACAAGGAAGAAAGCAAGGGAAACACCCCCCAAGTGTAACAATTTTACACTTTGTTGGAAAAAACCTTTTCCACTTCCCTTCAACTCTTATTGAACACATCCGTTCATGAGATCAGGCCAACTTCCAATCAATGTTTTAGATTAAAAGAAAAAGAACCTTTAATGATGCTCTTGTAGCTATTTAAACTTTTCCTAATGCCGAAAAACTAAATAAAAGTGGACCAAAAATAACAAAATCCCTCAGTGAAAACAAACTTTGTCTTTCAGGAGCCAGCGCTGTATCCGACAGCTCATCGCTCTTGCGAGGGAGAAAACTAGGACAGTATGTGGTAAACAGTTGGGTTTGGGTTGGAGAACATTTTGGATCTCTTCTAAATATTATTGCTTTGGCATATATGCCTTTAATTGATAGCTGCGGCAGAGACGGACAGAAAATGTGGTATGTGTGTGTGTGTGAAGGAGGGGGGGGCATGCAACAAAAGGTCAGGAGTTGCGGTACTGTGGCATGTTAGTATTGTCAATGCTTGAGGAATCCTGCGATGATTTACAGCCCTGGAGTTAGAGAGAGATGAAGACATGATCTTTGAAACGACTTGTTCTGCGCTGTGCTCTGCCTATCTGCATATTTTTGACTGACCGCTAAAATGTGGAGGTGTATTTCCAAACCAGCTGCGCTCTCTCTGCGGCCCATCATTACATTGCATTAGCATGATCTTCCCCTAGTTTGCATATCCCAGGAGCGTGTGGCTGGTCTAATACAGTATCCATTTCTCTCTGAATCACTGCCAGAACCCATTCGACTGGGTATATCCACTATTTATAATCACGTATGTTTGCGAAGTGAATGTTGCATAAGAAGAAAGGAGTCGCATTACAATTCAGTAATGGCAACATTTACATTTAAACTACATAAAAATATTGACCAATATTCCTCGACGCAGACTGTGCATTACACAGTGATGCTGAATGTTCCTGTGTCAGATATTATCGTTGTACTGAACTGCAAACCCAATTTGCAGTGTAACACTTACAGTTTTACACTTAAGTTGTACATGTATGATGCATGATTTGCATAGTGCAAATAATGAAAACGGTGACATTTGACATGCCGTGTTATATGACAGAGTCCTACCAGAATGTGGGAATTGCATCTTGCATAAACTTAGCATTAGGTTTTGAGGCTTTGCACCAACCAAGTGGCAAATGGCCATATCGTGCACTGGTGAACGCATACTTAAAAGCAAGTATATGTTCAGACTTGGAGCTTTTTCACTGGAAACAGCTGCGCGACGCAGCTCAAAGCGGAGCCAGAAGAAAAAGGCAGTTTCAAAAGTTCTTTTATTTGTGAATGAACAGGTAGCCACTCATGGTATTTTTAAGAGGTGTTGATTGTACCGAGGATGTAATTTCCCGAGCACACACCTTCTGGACCGTGGACTTATGGCATTTGTCAGGCTGAAGCAAGTGATTTAGTACGAGCTGGCAAAGAGAGTTTGGCAAATTCATTTTAGAGAATCCCATGAACTAACATCACAGAAAAAAAGGCCAATAGGATTGATTATTGAAAAATGAGCAGTGAACTTTATGTTCGACTTGCATCGCTCTTTCTTCTCACACTGGGACTTTGGAAGTTCTTTTTTTTAATGACAGTTTTAGATTTATTTATTTTTTGTGTGTGTTTTTGAATCACGCATTTTGAAATTGAGTGGTGTTCTCCTTTAAAGACACAGCAGCAGTAGTGGTGGCAGCAGCACAGTAGTAGAGCACCATCTGATAGTCATTACCCCTCCCCTCTCCTCCCCCATCCCTTCTCCTCCTCTTCTCCTCTCGCTTGATACTCTTTGCTCAGCTCAGACGTATTATTCATTAGTCTGATGAAAAACACCCACCATCTTAGTAGGGCCCAGCCTCGCGCACACACACACACACACACACACACACACACACACACTCTCAGTCAGAATAAGTGAAGTGAACAACTCTGGCACAGGTCAGGGACCTGTCAAAACTCGGAAGCAGGTCTGGACTCGATACCGTACCAGAGAGCAGGCGTCTAGCAGGGGAAAGACACTCCAAGGAACTGAGCTATTTATTGTAGTCCTCGGATAATCGTTTCTATAGCCTCCACCGAAACTGATAGAAAGAGGGAAAAGGGGAAGATCTCTGTTATGATGCCACTAAGCAGACGTCTGGACTGGGTCATTACCAAAAGTAAGTGTGTGCTCTCCGCAGCAGGGAGCGCACAAATAATGACAATGGGAAGAAGAGTAGGGATAGAGAGAAAAGAAGGTGGGAAGGTGGAAAGCAGGACAAGGAAGAAAAGTAGGATGGAAAAGAGGGAAGTGAATGGGGGGGGGTGTCAAAGAAGACGAAGAGGAGAGAGCTGGTGGCAGCCTGCCAGCACTCCGGACTGCAAAGTGTATTGTATGGGGAAAATGGTCGGAAGTGCTCGCCCCCCCAACTTGCAGCCCCCACCACCACTAGCCCCAATTTCAGCCTCATTCAGCCTCAGCGCCAGCCACACTCTACTGTGTTTCCCAAGAGAGCCAGACTCTACAGCTGGCCTTATTAAACTGAGAGAGGCAGAGAGACAGAAAAAAGACCGGGAAGGAAAGAGAGGTCACACAACTGGAAGACATCAGTCGAAACTGCGCTCGCTCTCTTAGTTTTTTCCGTTCATATCCCGTTTTATGATAGAGTTTCTCACAAACACGCTTGCGGTGCACTGGGTTCAAGCGTGTAGTAAAAAGCTATTGTTTGATTTGACATCCCTCAGAACACTGTAAAACAATGAAAGAAATGCTGGGAAATTAAAGTCTGTGTGACTTTTATCTCGTTTGTCTGAGTGCGTCTGAAGGCTGTCGTCATACATCTGAGCCCTGCTGTATGAGCATGTCTCCTTTTAGTTTGTGAACACAGTGGGCCAATAAAAGAAACTTTGAGAGACGGAAATCTGCTTCTAATCCTTTATCTTGTGGTCGTTTTGAATTTGCTTCATTTCTACTGCATTCTGAGTTTCTGTTCCACCTTGACGGGGTTTTCATCAGATCCCTTTACTTTAAAATAACACAATTAGGTTAATTCACACATGCACTGTGTTTTTTCCACAAGCAGCTTCTGGTCACTGATCTACTCCTATGGGAAAACCGAGGGTAAAGTCCACCTCCACTGCATAATGAGAGTCTGCAAAGGGATACACACTCCATTTATGTCTGCCTTTAAATGCTTGATCAGTGGAACACCTATATGTCAAGTATACACTGCTTTGTCTTTTGTGATATTGGTAATTGATCAGAGTATTAGTTGGATGAGCAATTAAAGGCTTTCATGCCTGCACCAATTACCTCCTGACACCAAGCACATAGCTGAGAACCATTTGGGATGCTATTTGTGGTGAGTTGGATGCAGAGGTGGGACCAAGTCATTGTTTTGCAAGTCTCAAGTAAGTCTCAAGTAATGTCAGGCAAGTCAGAGTCGAGTCTCAAGTCACTGGTGTAAAAGTCCAAGTAAAGTCACAAGTCTGAAATTTTGAATTTCAAGTCCTTTCGAGTCTTTAAAAAACCCCCGAAAAAAAGCATGTTGCAGTTATATGCTAAATGTAAATATTAGACCATGTAATTTTTAAATCTGTGTTTTTCTCAACACATGACAAAATAGTGAACTTAGAAAATATACACAAATTGTGAAATTGCACCTCTTTAAAATGCAGCTCAATTAAACCTAGCTCCAAGAATAATTTTCACCGACAGTTCTGAGATAAGCTGCATGTTATTCTTGGATGCGGTTGTAGGACCGGCTTTAAAATCGCATGACAAAAATATCATACACATTAAAAAAACTGCATCACCAACGTAGCCTGGACAACATTTGCTAGTTAGATGAAGTCAGCTATCTCATCGTAGCATATTTATATGCATATTTATAATCATACGGTTCTTGGAGTGAGTGCATACACTCATGAAGTTTAGTAACTTCAGGTCACTGCAACAAGCCCAGGTACAGTTTACCGACGGATGGGTACAGGACCTTGAAATGCACCGTGTAGAAAGTAAAGACCATCGTACGTATCATAAGTTTACCAGTCTCACAAATCGTCGTCATAAATACACATTCGTTAACCGTTTATTAATAGGACCTTTGAGCTCAATGGTAATTAATTAGTAGTGGAAATAATTTCTGGTAGCATCACAGAAATGTAGCAGTGACAATAATACTGTATGCTGTAATCGCACTGGGCAATTAGTGATACAAAAAACCTGTTTTATCCTGTGAATAAAAGTATATGTTTTTGTCAATGTACCATAATAACAGAAGCGAAACACAATATTGTGTCAGGACAATTCACTATTTATGCACAATAAACAAAGGAGCATAGCGCGACAATTTCTGTTCAGCGCCAGACTTGCTTGTAACCTATATCACCAATTATGTTATGAAAATGACGCATTAACTACAACAGCAGACTGACCTTTGTGGAAATGCTTGGAGCAGACTAACCTGTGAGCTGGAGTGTTCTGGGACGTTATATTTGATCTTTGAATGGCTGCAATCCAGGCCATCCGTCGCCTCTTTGTTACTTCGGAAACATGGCTCGAACAATTTCTCTTCAACGACGTAATCCGATAACAACCGATCTCTTTACCCGTCGGCTTCCCGTGGCTGTCATGCGACCGGCTATTGCAGTTAATAATACAACAGCTTCTTGACATTTTTGTGTTTCTTTTTATCGCTGTGTAACTGATTTCAATTGAAAGCCTGCGTGCGCTAGTACCTCTTGCCACGAGTTCCCAGAATCCTTTGCGGTTCTACCCGTGAATGACGTCACATTTTCAATCTCTATATAATATGCATGTTAAATTTTATATTTGGGGTAAAATATCAAGTCTTTTCAAGTAAACCGGTTCAAGTCCAATTCAAGTCCCAGGTCATTGGTGTAAAAGTCCAAGTCAAGTCACAAGTCTTAGAACATTTTTTCAAGTCAAGTCTAAAGTCATAAAATTAATGACTCGAGTCTGACTCGAGTCCAAGTCATGTGACTCGAGTCCACACCTCTGGTTGGATGCAATAAATTTAAAAACTAAGCATCGTCTTTGAATAGAAAGTCTTTATTTTGGTTTTAAAGTATGAATTCATATGGGGACAATGGGTTCATTTAACATCATAACAGTGTTGGGAAGGTTACTTTTAAAATGTATTCCATTACAGAATACAGAATACATGCCCCAAAATGTATTCTGTAACGTATTCCGTTACGTTACTCAATGACAGTAACGTATTCTGAATACTTTGGATTACTTAATATATTATCATGCTTTTTACAACAACGTGAATGTACTATTGCTGTGTGATTTATTACTATTACTGAAGGTCCGCGACTCCGAACTGTAGTAAAGGGACCTCTGACTAATACGGCGGGGTCCCTGTCGGCTCGTAGCCGAAAAATAGCTTTACTTTGTTGTGTGGGTCAACTTTTCTTGCGAGAGACAGAGAGAGGCGTTGAAAGGCTGCTCCAACGGAACTTATTGTTTTCGGAGGAAAACACGAACACGGTGTACAGTCGAGTCTTAATAGCTTACTTACAACTGGGCTCGTCAGGCACTCTTCTTGGCTGCAGTGGTTATTATTATATTTACATGCTTCCAGCTCCCGTTTTTCCTCGATGACAACTCGTACCTTTCCACTCCCCTTTTTCTCCCTCCTCGCGCTCACAGACCCATAACGTGTATGGCAGTCCATTCTCCCTGCAGCACGGACTACACTGCCCATGATGCTACATTCTTTAGAGCTATGCTTGTAGCATTCTGCCTGTTAGCTTAGCACAACAACAACAACAACGAAAAGGCGCTCTCTCACCCAGGAAACACACAGTCGCAGAGAGAGAGAGAGCGTTGCCCTGTAACCATGGCAACCGTAACGCTGCCGCCTGGAACAACAGAACGTAGCTGTCAAACATAACCCAAACAGTCCTGACCCGCGACAAGACGAAACAGGAAAGTTTATTTCAACAAAGTAACTGTATTCTGAATATCAGCTTTTTAAACGGTAACTGTAACGGAATACAGTTACTCATATTTTGTATTTTAAATACGTAACGGCGGTACATGTATTCCGTTACTCCCCAACACTGATCATAACTCAAGAAAAGTGCAGAAAGGTCCAAATGTAATGTCCAGTTACTAGGGTAAAAACAAAAATGACCAGAATTTATCAATTTCAGTTTGTTTTGTTGGTTGGTTACTAAAAAAAAGAGAATTGTTGGAACAACTCAATGATATTATGTGAACTGGTAACACATTTAATTAAGTTATTTTAAAACAACTTATTTCAGCAAGTCAGAACCTTCCAACAGATTTAAGTTACAAGCAACAGATAATAAGTAAGACTTAACTTGCACGCTTCACTTAAGAGAAATTAAGGGAAGAAGTTGTCATTTCAAGTTGATAGAAACCCCCAAAATTTTCAATGGTAACTCAGCTACAACACTTTTTACAGGTTTGGTTTGTATTTTTTAAGATTGCTTCCAAGGAGTCCTACTCTTACCTTTTGCCAGTGGTGTTCCATAAGGACAAGCAAGGCAAGCAGTGCTTTCCAGAAACCAGCGTGTGACGCGAGCTGGCGCTCTCACTGCTCTGAGATCAGTTAGATCCATGTCTTCTTATGGAAACACAGCTAGCATTAGCAAGCAAACTAGCTTCAGTGATTTATTATTGTAACAGTTGAGTTTCATCTTGCTAACGGTGTCTGTCGAGAAGATGGAGTTTGAAA